CCAAAAGCAGGCCTTTTCTTTTAATCGGGGTTATGAGGTGCTATCTGTAAAACAGGTTTAACGAGGTACTGCAAGGAAGGCACCAAAAGTGTATGGTAGCTGTATTTCAGTTGACAAGTGACAACCACCTTCATGATTTGTAGAACTTGCCCAACCGGCCTACAAGGCCAGGCTCTGTATGTCTAGCAGTGTCTTCACTCATTCTGTTAGTGAGATTGTCACAGCCTTCACCCTGCATTAGGCCGTAAACTGGCTTCTGAACACTAAGGACTTAAACCCATAGGTACTCTAGTTAACAATAATGACCAAAACTGGCCTTTTACTTATAGAACTAATAACTGACTGGTTGAAGATGATACAAGAGGTTGTCAGAAAGTGAGCTATTAAAAATATACAATGAGGGCTGGAGGGGCAGCTCCGCAGTTAACAGCACATGCTCCTCTTCCAGAGCATCAGCATGCCATTCCCAGCATTGGTGGCTCACAACCTTCTATAACTCCAGTTCCGGGGCTTCAAAGCCCTTGTAGGCACAGGGCATATCACACAGCATACATTCACACACACACACACACACACACACACACACACACACACACACACACACACAGAGAGAGAGAGAGAGAGAGAGAGAGAGAGAGGAGAGAGAGAGGGAGAGAGAGAGAGACAATACATTAATACAAATAAAAGTGAATGTAAAAACAGAAAGAGCATGAGTATAAATAATGTGCCTGCTAAGTATCTTATCATAAACATACTCCTCATCCTCATGAACCATAGCATCAAGGTATAAAAGGAAGAAAGTTTTATTTAAATTATTCAGGTTCAAAAATTACTTTTAATGGATGCAATATGAACACTAAAAGCTCCAAACTCAAGGGTTTAAGGAAATGAGGATGTGAGTGAGGGCTATTAAATCTCATTGTTTTTATGTAACCAGCCATGACCAAGTACCCAGCATCACTTACACTGCTGTAACACAGTGTTTCTATCCTATTCTGTAACAGGGTTTCTTTTTCTGAATTACTATTTTAAGAGAAGAAAACTCAAAGACATCTGGGTGATTTTAACTGACTGCTTTTCTTCTTATAGATTCTAGTTCTCAGAGTTTTACAGTTTAATTCAAAAAAGGAAACTATGACTGAAACTAAACTCAACCAGAGAGACTCCTTAGGCAACCTCAGTAATCACACACAATTTTCTATGTTTTTAACAGGAAATCTGTTTTTCCCCTAAGAAGTGTTAGTTTATAATGAGTTGAAGGATGGCTCCTCCACTAAACTGCCTTTAAACAGAATTGCAGAATTTCCCTCCCAGAGTACTGATCCTATGATTTTTGGCTAGGAACTGTAGAGACCAACTTTCATAGAAATTATAAGGAGGCAAAATAAAGGTAAATATGTTAATGATAGAATATATCCTTATTCCTCCACATACAACATTGTTGTTTTCCTAGGATGTTTAATTTCATGTCTGTCAGCCAAAAGTTTGAAAGTTTATATAAAATGCACAGTGATGGATGGCCAGGGGTCTTCCATGAAGGTTCTTGAACTTGCATCAGCATTAAGAGTCATTCATTCTCTGTCAGATGTGGGGTTGGTCAAGATCTTTTCCCATTCTGTGGGCTGACGTTTTGTCTTGTTGACTGTGTCCTTTGCCTTGCAGAAGCTTCTCAGTTTCAGTAGGTCTGATTTATTAATTGTGATCTCAATGTCTGTGTTACTGATGTTATGTTCAGAAAGCAATCTCCTATACCAATTAATTCAAGGGTACCTTCCACCTTCTCTTTTATGTTGTTCAGTGTGGCTGGATTTATGTTGAGGTCTTTGATCCATTTGGACTTAAGTTTTGTGCATGGCAATAGATATGGATCTATCTGCAGTCTTCTACATGCCAGTATCTAGTTGTGACAGCATCATTTGTTGAAGATGCTCTATTTTTTTCCCATTGTATAATTTTAGCTTCTTTGTCAACAATCAGGTGTTCATAGGTGTGTGGATTAGTATCATAGTCTTCAATTATGATTCCATTGGTCTATCTGTCTGGTTTTTGTGACAATACCAAGCTGTTTTCATTACTATAGCTGTATAGTAGAGCTTGAAGTCAGGGATGGTGATGCCTCTGGAAGTTCCTTTATTGTACAGGGTTGTTTTGGCTATCCTGGGTTTTTTATTTTTCCACATAAAGTTGAGTACTGTTCTTTCAAGGTCTGTAAAGAATTGTGCTGGGATTTTTTTATGGGGATTGCATTGAATCTGTAGATTGCTTTGGTAAGATTGCCAGTTTACTATGTTGATCCTACCCATCCAAGAGCATGGGAGATCTTTCCATATTAGACACAGAGCAAAGGAGAACCAGCTTACAATCCACAACCCCAGAGAAGCTAGGAAACAAGGAGGACCCTAAGAAAGACATGTATGGTCCCCCGGAGAAGAGGAAAGGGACAAGATCTCTGGAGAAAATTGGGAGCATGGGAGGTGTGGGGGGGGAGCAAGGCAGGTAGGAGAAAGAGGAGGGGAAAAGAGGAGGGGGGAAACCATGAGGGATCAGGAAGATGGACTTGGGGAAGAATAGAAAAGGAGAGCAAGAAAAGAGATACCTTAATAGAGGGAGCCATTATAGATGTAAAGAGATGTCTGGCACTAGGGAAATGTCCAGGGATCCACAAGGATGACTCCAACTCATAATCTAAGCAAATAGTGGAGTGGCTACATTAAATGCCCTTCCCTTATAATAAGATTGATGACTACCTTGTTTGCCATCATAGAGCCTTCATCCAGTAGCTAATGGAAGCAGAAGCAGAGAGTCACAGCCAAGCCCTGAGTCGAACTCCTGGAATCCAGTTATAGGGAGGGAGGAGTGATGAGCAAAGGGGTCAAGACCATGTTGGGGAAACCCACAGAAACAGCTGATCTGAGCAAGTGGAAGTTTACAGACCCCAGTCTGACAGCTGAGGAACCAGCATAGGACTGAATCAGGGCCCCTGGATGTGGGTGTCAGCTGGGAGACCCAGGCAGTCTATGGGGCCTCTGGCAGTAGAACCAGTGTTTATTCCTAGTGCACGAATGGGCTTTGGGAGCCCATTTCCTGTGGAGGGATACTCTCTCAGCTACATACACAAGAAGAACCTAGGTCCTGCCCCAAATGATACCTCAGACTTTGATGATCCCTCATGAGAGGCCTCACCTTTCACCTTCCCTGTGTAGTGGATGGGGGTGGGATTGGAATGGGGGGTTGGTGGGGAGCATGGGAGGACAGGAGGGAGAGGAAACTGGGGTTGGTATGTAAAATAAGATTATTTTTAATTTAAATAAAACTTTTACTTTTAAAAGAGTCATTCTCATAATGGTTTTCAGCATACATTATAACAATTTTACACCTTTTAGGTTCTTTGTTTTTTTGCTGTTGTTGCTACTATTGTCCTGTTTTCTGTTTTGTGGTTTTGTTTGTTTTGTTTTGAGACAGGGTTTCTCTGTGTAATGGTGGCTAGAACTCACTCTGTAGACCAGGCTGGCCTCAAACTCACAGAGATCGTTCTGCCTCTGCCTCCTGAGTGCTGGGATTAAAGGTGTGTGTGCACCACCACTGCCCAGCTGGCCTACTCTTAATTTATAAATGACTTTTCTTCAGTTGGTTTCATTGGCGTTTCCAGCTGTCTGTCACCCTGGAAATGAATACATTTTAATTGTATTCCTTTGCTGATATTCCATCAGCTCTACATTTCCATCAAGGTCCTAATGAGATACAATGGATACATTTAGGGGAGGAAAGGAAAAATAATGGTGTTTGAAAACTAATCTATATACTATGTCATCAATATTGATGAACACATCATATAAAAATACTAATGGAACTTACTCATAAATAAATGTCTCACTCACACAGCATAGGGCAGAAAGAGGGAAAATACCAAGACCCATAGCTGTTTCTATTGGACGAACTTCATGCTTAAAGGGAGGATACATGACATTGTTTTCAACTGTTTCTTCCTGGTTTTTGAAAGTCGGGTTCACAGCTCTGCTCCGGATAAAGTCCGGTGCCTTGCAGACATAAACACAATCCACTGCACAGAAGGTATTGCAACTTGCCTTGCACATTCACTGAGATTACAGACCCTGAGAATGGTAACCACCCACCCAGTGCAGCACACTTCCCTATTCTATAATAATACAGACCTGCTCACTGTGTACAAGAGTAAATTATTCAGTAGACTACTGGCAAACAATAATAATAATAATATTAGTATAAGCAGGCTTAAATCGTTCCGAGTTTTACAACACAGCAGAAATTAGGCAGTTTTATAAAATAAATAACTAATTTCTAATATCTGCAAAGATGAAGTGTCTGAAATATTTCTCTTCTATTTTTGGGTAAAATAATTCTACCTATACATAGGAGGAAGAGTAGTAACCCTCTCAAAGTAAACATAGTCCATTCATTCATCCTCTCTCAGAGAAGAAATTCCAGAAAATCACTGATTGATTTCCACACCCCAACTCCCTTTACTGAAACTAGTGTAGACAGGGACACCTTTAACTTCCCACAGTCACAAGGCCCTCAGTGATCATCATTTCGGCCCTGGGCACAGGGCTGTGCCCTGGCTACGCATCAGAGTACCAGGGAATAATTAGGATAGCAACTAAAAATGTTGAGTGGCTTGCTTCCACTGAAATGGTTCCATATATAGTAAAAAAATGTTCCTTCCTCCCTGTTTCTAGGTCTCCTTTGCCCACCTGTTAAACCACCATTTTTAAACTGGTACCAGTGAATGAGAAAAGTCACCCAAGTAGCCATTTTGTCAAAAGCAAGCAGAAACTTGCCACTCATAGCTTAATTAATTTTCAATTGATTCCTAATATATATCACACTGGGGTTCTTCTTAGAAAACAGGTGAACAAACAGGTTATCGCTCCCCATTAATTATTCTTTGTAGTGTTGCCCAATACAACTATCATATTGAAAATGTCACCCCAAGTGAGTGCAGGCTGTAGACAGTCACTTACCCGAGGCACGCCTTGTGAACCGGTTTATAACTGGAGCTAAAAGAGAAGAGCAGAATAATATGATTAGATTTTTTTGTTTGTTTGTTTGTTTGTTTTTGACAGGGTTTCTCTGTGTGGCTTTGGAGCCTGTCCTGGAACTAGCTCTGTAGACCAGGCTGGCCTCGAACTCACCGAGACCTGCCTGCCTCTGCTTCCTGAGTGCTGGGATTAAAGGTGTGTGCCATCAACACCCGGAAGGTTTTTTTTTTTTTTATCTTATTTATGCCCAAACCAAAAAAAAAGACTCAAATCAGTTAAGCAAATTCCATAATTTCAATATAAATTTGAATGTATAAATGTATAAATAATACAAGAACAAATATAAACCATATAAAATTAAATGGTCAGAAGAAAGCTTTTACTACCAATAAAGGAAATAAAAATCCCCCAAAGAAATGTAGCATAAAATCATTGTTTCACCTATCCAATTAATTTATCCTGAACACTTTAAATAAAAACTCTTTGTTAAAAGCATGTTGATGCTGCCTAACTGGATGGAACAGAATAAGTCTATAAACACCACTAGAAAACAATGCAGCAACTACATCAAGTGCCAGCTAAGCTCCCTGTCTTCTCACAGTCAGCTCTGGGAGGGGAGTCTTGAAGAAGTGCACTAGCAAGAGAAAGTAAGTGTTTCACACACAGCAGGAGAAAGGAAAAGTAACACTAAATAGCACGGTTAAGCAGCAGCCATTTTTAAAGGAAACAAAACTGAAAATGCTCGTGGAAAATAAACACACTGAATTGTGTGTGTGTGTGTGTGTGTGTGTGTGTCCATAACACACACATGCTCACACAGACAGCAATGGTTAACCGGCTAGGGCAGGATGCACTCACTCCTCTGTCTGCCCACACCTGGATTCCACTCAGTTCTGGGTTTCTTCTTGGATTTGCAGACATAATTATCTCAAGAAATGAAAAAGGGTTGATGTTCTTTTTAAAATTTCCTTTCTTAAGTGGGTAAATGAGTGATTCACATTATGTAGAAAGGACAGCATGTATATTCAAAGGCTCATGGGTCTGCTCTGAAGGCTAACACTTTTAGCCTTCTAAAGCAGCAATTATGAATGCTGCTTACTCTATGGGGACAGAGAACATACAAGTCTTCTTAGCAGTGCGGTTTCATGAAGAATTATGTTGGCACAGGAACAAGGATTCAGAGAAAGCCTTTGAGGGGCAGGTACTCCAAGCTTTAAACATCATTATCTCTATGTAATTTTGGTAAGAAAAATGTTACAGAAAATTTTTCTAAAAAGCGATGAATTTATGGTGGAACACACACACACGCACACACACACAATGCCCATGGGTTCCATGAATGCTTTAAACCCCTTTTTGTACCCATAAGAAGGGAGTCCTAACAGAGCCTTCCTCCAAGGCTTATAAGGACAATGATTTGAGACAGCACAGATTAATCCAACCACAGGAATGCAGGTAAAGGTAAAAGGCTGATCACAGCCCTGAACAGAATACAGACTCCTTGTTCAGAGCTCCATCCCACCAGCCTCTTCAGGAGATGAAGCCACTGTGGCCTTTGGTGTGGTATCTTATGTTTCTGCATTTTCCTACATGGGAAGCTGCCTCCTTCCTCACATGCTAAAGCACATGCCTACTTAATCGCCACAAAGTACACTCCTTTGCATGTCCTTGGCAGGCTTTCTAGATACCATATCTGCACTTGAACTGTGAGCATGCAAGCCAAACGATGACTGATGATGCTTGACAATACATGGGGCCTAGAAATGGACAGTTACCAAGATGAGTCATGACAGGGCAGGTGGTTTACAATAGTCAAGACACATACAGTGTTTGACAGCAAAATTCCAATCCCTTACATCTATACCCATACCCTCTTTGAGAGACAACAGCAACAAGTCTTTCCTGCATACACTTGTAGGAAGTTAAGACATCACACTTTTTCTGAAGTTTTAATCTAGTTAGCATCATAAGGAAGAAGACAGGAAGTAGGCGCGGCTGGCTAAGCAAGGACTACATGCTCTCTCTCAGGAGCCATGTCAGGGAAGGAAACAGGAGGAAGAGGAATGAGCAGCACAGGCATTACTGCAGTGAAAGGTGGGGAAGCCCAGGAAAAGGAGGCCTGGGCTGTACTACTGGTCCACCAAACAACTCCCATGGAGCCTGATGAACCACTTAACTGAACAGTAAGAGCCTCTATGATCCACCAGATTCACTTTAGTTCCTGTGCTCTACCCTGGAGCATCCTTAAGAGAAAAAGTTCCCACACCTGAGGAAAACTGAAGGCGTATCTCCATTCCAAGTAGGGAGAAAAGCCCCCTACAGATGCCTAAGTTCTTCCTCTGTCCACAGAAACTGCTGTTTTATTCTTTGTACCCAAGGCTGCCCTGGCATGTAAGGTGCTGAGTTAATACCTACCAGATGGATCAGTAAACCGAAAAGTATACAGAGCAATCCTATGTAATTCTGCCTAAATCCTGGCTGCAGGGTGGACACAGGCATGGCGATTTTAACAGTTTCTGGCCCCGAAGGACTGAACCAAGTCTACTCAGATTTCTAATACAAGTGCTTCCAGGGCTTACCAAACTTAGGAAAAAATAGGTGAAAGAGACATTCAGAAAATAGGTGAAAGGAAAATTCAGTGAAGGCTGAAAAGCAAGACAGTTCATAAAATAGGCGCAGTCAGTTAAAAGCACAAAGCAATGAGACCTGTCTTCAAACCCCAAGGACACCGTTTTCATCTCTGAGTAAGCTGAGGGAGACATTCCAAACTAAACAAATATGAACTGAATGGTGACTTGTGCGAGCTCCCCACCCCTGCGCTTCCCCTCCCTCTCCCCCCCCTCTCTCTCTCGCACACACACACACACACACACACACACACACACACACGAGCCTGTACAAGCAAACAAAAAGTCACCCCATCTGTACTAGAGGCACGCTGGATAAATGGGTCTTTTTTGAGAAAAGTGTTCATATGCCCTAGAGTAAAATATATTCAACTCTCATAGATTCCTAAAAAATAATTAGCATCCATGCCCTCATTATAGTTTTTTTTTTTTTTAAAGAAATAAACACTTTTTATATGTTAGCTGCCTAAATAAAAGACTGGGAAAACTGTAAATGGAAATGCATAAGCTAATTATTTTTGACAGAATACTCAGTTCAAAATAAATTAACTTATGTGTATGTTTCAAAAATTAAATAAAGTTCACCCTTGAACCAAGAAAGAAAGAAATTTTTAAAAGATCAATAGCAACAAAACAGAAATATTTCACTGAGTAGTAAAAGGCTCTTGTGGCCAGAACACAACAAACATGGCTCTGGAAGGCCTTGCCCTTCCCCCATCCCCTCTGCCTTGCTAAACTGTTGATTTTATTCCTAAAGCTAGCCACCAAGGTCTGTTCCCTTATTGGCCACTTCCTCCTCCTGAAACTGACCTTTAAAGTCCAGCTATCAAAGTATTGAAGTCCAATAATCAAAAGCCCCCTTTTGGCTGCCCCAATTAACATGCTCAATCAAAACAAACCAACTCATCCCAACATGGATGAGTTGGTTTATATACTGCCATTTGTCTATGGGCCGCATCTGTTTCCTCTCTATCTACAGCCCTTTGTCCCCTCTCCCTGGTTCCTTCCTCCTTCTCCCGGGTCCTGTATCTCCTGTCTTTGTCTCTCATTCTCTACCCTTATTCCCTGTGGGGCAAATTGATCTCCTTTGTGCTGAGAACTTGGTCTTGGGTGTCTTGTGCTGATTCCAGTCCTTTCATGTATACTTTGTACATGTACAATTCTTGGTCCCCAAAGTAGCATTTATTTTCTATTATGACTCCTACAAATACTACAAATACTTGGATATACTCAATTCAGCCTCACAAGTCCTTGCCCGGAACTTCAGAAACTCTATGTACTGGCCTCGAGAGGGGAACATGAGGGCAGAATCACAACTGGAGGGAGCTTCTCCAAACCCTAACTGCTGATACATGGATTATAAAGGACATACCTCAAAGTATGCCTTAGCCTTAGGCGACTGTGTGAGGTGATGGACACTGTATTCAGGAGGGATACAGGCTGGTGTCCATCCAACCTACTCACATGGTTGTGGTTGGGAGTAGGACAGGATGAAATGAAATACGGTGCTTCAGCTTTTAGAATGCTCCAACTTGAATGAGCACTAAAAAGACCTACAACTTGTTCTATTTGTTAAACCAAATGCCTCCAAATATAACTGACACAGGAAGGAACAAACTAACTAGGAAAGCACATTTTTGATTATGAGTGAACACGATTCTGATTCTTCTCTTTGTAACTCACAAGAACCTTGCCAACAATGCTCTCTTACACAGAGAAAAGAAAGCAGTTTCAGCTAGGGGAGCCCCAACATGACTAACCTTATAAAACCACACAGACGCAGGCAAGGACAAAGGCCAAGGAAAAAGGTTTCCAAACTAGCTCCAGATTTTAAATACCTTCTTCTCGGGAAAATGACACTGTTCAACTACAGAAATTTAATCTGTGCGTCTCCATGCTCTATTCCATGTGCTAGCAAGCTACTCTAAGGATTTCATTGTTGATGTGCCCAAAGTTATTATCTTTGGTTAGAATGTATAATAGGAAAGAAAAAAAAATACCCATAGAATGTGTAATAGAAAAAATTTCAGATGTCATAACAAAAGTGAAAAATTTAAGAATAAAGCCAGTAAAAATAGAAAATAGAAAACTCCTTCATAAAAAAGTAGACCAGTTTGGCCTCAAACTCACAGATATCCACCTGCCTCTACCCTCCTGAGTGCTGAGAATAAAGGCATATGCTACCATCACCTAGCCATAAAATACTCTTTTTACAAATGAGTTTTTGCTAAAGTTCAAACACTAAAATACCTTTTGATTTTTTTTAAAGAATTATAAAGCAACTACTGAAAAGTTAATAAAGGCTGAAAGTCCTCATATTTCCTAGTGTAACTTTTGTTAAGATAGTCAGTTTAGAAGTCAAAGACCTGGGGCTAGAGAGATGGTTCAACC